ATATCCCTTCATTTGTAAGTTATGCCACTAATAAACTTTCCTTTTGACTACGTGGAGTGGCCTTAATAATTTCACCAATACATTCTGCTGGATCTTATTTGTTATCTGTTAGGAATGTTTACTAGTTTTAAGTGTCCATTTCTTTTTCTCCCTTGGAAAACTTTTTCTTAAATATTTTATTCTTGGACATATCTCAATTTTCAAGTGCTTGTTATATAAACATGTTTGAGAATCTAAGTTAAACTCCTAAAATTCATGTTTTTGTAGCTGGAGTTTTTCTCTCCGGACCCGCCAAGCTCTGGCAGTCACATAACCCACTTATAAAATAAACATACAGACACTTATATTATTTAAACTGCTTGTCCATTAGCTCAGGCCTACCATTGTCTAGCTCTTACTCTTATACTCAGCCCATTTTTGTTAGTCTATATGTCGCCACATGTTCCATGGCTTTACCTGCTGTCTTTACATGATGCTACCTGGATGGCAGGCTGGCATCTCCTCCTCTCCCTTTCCTGTTCTCTCAATTCTCCTCTCTGCTAGTCCTGCCTATACTTCCTGCCTGGCTACTGGCCAATCAGTGTTTTATTTATCAATCAATCATCCACAGCAAAAAAGCCAGGAGTGGTTGCAGGCATTTTCAATTCCAGCACTCAGGAAGCCGAAAGAGGAAGATCCGTGAGGCTTACTAGTTAGCCAACCTGGCCTAATCTGTAAGTTCCAAGCTAACAAGAAAGACTGTCTCAAAAAACAAGGTGGATGGCTCCTTAGGAATGACACCTGAGGTTGTGTTCTGACCTCCACATGCATGTTCATACACATGTATGCTCAGCCACACACACAAAACAGCACCCCACATGAACACAACACATACACAATTGATCCTTTTAAAATTTTTATTGTTGAGATTATAATATAATTGTATAATTTCTCCCTTCGCTTTCCTCCATCTAAACCCTCCCATATATACATACCTACTTTCTCTTTTTCAAATTCATGGCTTCTTAATTGTTACATGCACATGTATATAAATATATCCCTGATATATATTATACTGTTAGGAATATATTTTATTCCTAAATATGATCATTATTCAGTAGTGCTCTTATAATTGGGATTTTAAATTCTTTTATTTTATAATAGTCAACATACAGAAACATGCAAGTGATTTCTTTATATTGAGTTTGTAACTTTTAACATGGAAGCCATTTGCCTATTTGTTGTGTGGGTAAGAAGTATAGGTATGTCGTGTGTGTGTGTGTGTGTGTGTGTGTGTGTGTGTGTGTGTGTGTGTGTGTGTTGTATGAATATGGTGTCTGTATGTGTGGTGCATATATGTGAATATGAAGATACATGCATCAATGTGTATGCATACAATAGTTTCCTTCTACCATTCTCCACCTTTTTCCCTTGAAATGGCATCTTTCACTGAACTGTGAGATTATTGCTTTAGTTAGGTTAAGATGCCAATGAGCTCCCAGGATCCACCTGCCTCTGCCCTGTAGCACAGAGGTCATAAGATCTGAAACCATGCTAGTCTATATATGGGTATGTAAGATTCAAACTCAGGGCCTTGTGCTTATATAGTAAGCTCTCTTGCCCATGGTGTTATCTCCTTAGTCTCCTCTTTGCTTTGTTGGTAAAGAAGGAAAAACTGAGAGGCTAAAATATGAAAGACTGAAGAAAATTTCATAAATTTAATTTTGAAGTTATTTTGAACAATTGTAGAGCATAGCTAATACTCAAGTCCTATCTTATTTGAAAATAAATTCACAACATCAGTCTAAGAGGAAAGTCAAATAAATTCAAAGCCCTTTACAATGGTAAGTTCACAAACATATGATTGTTATATCTTAATAAGTTCAGCCCAACAATGTTTTTTTTTTCCTGTATTATAACATAAGAATGTTTTATTAATCACGAGAATAAATATTTTGGCTTGTACACTATCTAAAAACTAAACAATGTTGACCATATTTTGAGTCTATTTGAAACAAGTAACACTGATGTTAACTAACAGGTCCTGACTCCCAGTTCATACTCAGTTCTGAGCATGAAATCACAAGGTGTAAATTGTGAATACAATTATTTAGGCTATTTACATTTTTTTCCATATTAATACCTAATGTTATTAATTGTAGTTAAAATTAATTGTGTTGATTACTCATCCATTTACTAAACCATTACTGATCCTCTACTGAATGCTCAGTGTTGTTCTGCATACAGAGTATAAAAATATAAATACAACAGAAAATAACACTTTATCCTTTCTAAGCTTTCCAGAAACATAGATAGACAATAAGCAAATAAATAAATGTCTAGTGTATGAGATGGTGATATGTATGGTGAATATAAAGTAGATGACATTACTGAATGACTGGTTGACTATTTTCAAAAGACTGCTTGCAAATGGTGCTTCATATGTAAAATGAAATAAGAATGGCAGGATAGCATCAATCATTTTAAAGATACATAAAGAATGCTGCATATAAAAGGACAAACAAGTTAGTGGAAATTAATGTGATATCTCCACTACACTGAGGAACTTGTTGTGTTCTATCAAATAAAAGATCAGTAGAGCCAAGGGCAGGATGATATGAGGTAGTAGTGATGGTACTCAGGAATATGTAAACAAAAGCAATGGGTACTTGTAAAGGTAATAAATGGGACACTTTCAAAGGGGGCATATTGAAGGAAATGTTAATTGTGCCCAATTTTACCAAAAAGCCCGAGGCATCTGCTCTAGTAGTGACTTTTAAACTCCAGCATACTTTAGAATCCACTAGAGGGCTTTTTAAAATGCACAGATGTTAAGTCTCAACCACATACCTCCTGGCTCAGTCATCCTAGGGTAAGTTTGCGAATTTGCATTCCTCACTACTCCCCAAATTATGCTAGCTCTGCTTGTCCTAAATTAAAAACTGTTTTGCAGAGGTTTTACTCTTCAAATTGAAATGTTTGGACACCTGGTTGGTCCTTAAACTCATAGTAAAAACTTCAAAGGAATTGCATCACCCCTTGTATAAAGGATATTCAGAAGCTGGAGATGTATCTCTATTAACAGGGTGATTTCCTATCATGAACAAAGTCAAATTTCTAGCACCACATAAACTAAGCATGATGACATATGCCTGAAATGCCAGCACTTTGAAGGTAATGACAAGAGAATCATAAGTTTATGTCCATCTCCACTACATAGTGAGTTGGAGGCCAGTCTGTAATATAAGAGAAATTGTCTTTAAAAAATAAAATAAAATAGCTGGGTGATGGTGGCACACACATTTAATCCCAGCACTTAGGAGGCAGTGGTAGGCTCATCTCTGTGAGTTTGAGGCCAACCTGGGCTACAGAGTGAGTTCCAGGAACAGCACAAAGCTACACAGAGAGACCCTGTCTCGAAAAACCAAAATAAATAAATAAACAAACAAACAAACAAACAAATAAATAAAATAATTTTAAAAGGGTATTCAGGAATGCTCCAGACAATATCTCTTCGCATACTTTGATAAAAGGATAATATTTTTATCTGTATTTTTCTTAGATAGGTATCTATTAAAATGCTTTTAGAATAACATTATAGTGTTTGCATATCTATGTGAAGCTACAATGACAGAGTCCAGGTACAGATTTTTTCATTAATGTAGGTAGTAAATAATCTAGAGACTATATTTATTAGAATTATCAATATCTCTTGATTATGATTATTTTACAGAAAACTGCATTGCTATTTTAAAATAAATAAAAGTACATAATAAGTAGTAATAAAATTTATGTAAAATTTGAAATAAATAAAATATTTTTAAATTATTCTGAAGAGGAAACAAGAAGTCGATCTGAGGGAGAAAGGGGTGGGAGAAGCTCGAAGGAGTGGAAAGGGGGAAACTGAGATTGGAATGTATTGTATGAAAGAAGAATCTATTTTCAATAAAAGTAATTAAAAAAATAAAAGAATAGAGTTGCTTATGGCTCAATTTATCCTCTACCATTATTAATATTTCAATGAAGGATGATGCACTGATCAAATAACAGAGAAAATTCTTTGAATTTACAGACTAACAAAAAGTTATAAGACATTACGAGGCAAACCTACTAATGGGCACAGCTTAGAGATGTGCATTTGGTTGTTAATTTTGCCTAGAAGTAATATATTAGTTAGAAAATTAAAAACAAGGAAAATTTTGCAAAAGTTGTGTGGATAGATGTTTCTATAAAACAAGAAGTAGGAGGAGAAAGGGGAAGAGAAGAGGAGGAGAACAATGATGAGGAAGAAGATATATGTATTGTCACCCAAGAGTATACTCTTTGCAGAAGAGGATGTAAATAATTAATTGAACAAGATGATGTGTTTTGTGACTATCATTGAAAATTTTTCCCCAGGTATTTCTGTCATTACTTAGCAAGCTCATGAATAATAAGAATTTTGAATGAGTTTGAGGAATGAAGGTACAAAAACAGTAATGAGTATCACAAATGGGTTCAGAAACATAGATTGTCACTCACCAAAGCCAATTTGACCATGAGCAATTCTAGGTGTCAATTCTTTTATAGCAGAAATCAATGCTGAATAATTTGTCAGGGTTGTAAGTCAGTCACCTGGTAATAAGTTGATATATTTGAATTCCATGTGTACCATAGACAGGCTAATGCTTTGTTCTTACTGAAACAGATAAGTTACTCTGAAATTCTCTTCGGTGAAGACAATGATTCTGCCAATTCTACCATCGTTGGATTTAATAAAATGTTTTCATGCTTAAGTCTTAGTTATATTGAACTAAAGCAATTTTGTACATATTCAAGATAAATGAATCCTTAAAATTACAAGGGATTTGTAATATGCCAAGCATATTTTTGAAACAGGATTCTGATTCCTTGTCACAGTATATGGTATTAGCAGTCAACAGTGACCCTAGTTGGGTGTGGGAGCCCAGCTGGGAGACTGGCTCCCACATTTTATGATAGGGTACTGTAGCAGGAATCTTAAATGTTCTTATTAATAGGGAATCTGAGCCACACTGTAAGACCACTGCAATAGGCTGGAACATCTTTATTACTTTGGACATGACTGGCTTGAAAATGGCTTCATAGGACCCATCATCGATCCCATCTCGGAGGGGGTAGTTAACAGCATAGTACTTGCCTTTGCCAGCCCCAATATCCCGTAGGTCCCCAGTTCCTGGGAAGTACTCTCCAAACTTATCAAAGGACACAGTCATGACCCGGTCTGTGGTATAGAAGGCCTCTTCCACACCATCGCCATGGTGAATATCAATGTCAATATACAGCACCCTCTGGTGATACTTTAGCAGTTCCAGGATGGCCAAGATGATATCATTGATGTAACAGAAATCAGATGCTTCAGACTTCTTTGCATGATGCAGACCCCCAGCCCAGTTCACAGCGATGTTCGTCTGCTGCTTATTCAGTTTCACAGCACTTGCCACAGAGCCACCAGTAAACAGCTGGCATAACTCAAACAAGCCATCAAACACTGGACAGTCCTCACCAACAGTGAATCTCTGCATCTGCTTGCTGTACTCAGTCATGTTATCTGGGCAAATGGAACGCAAGAACTTAATGTAGTCATCACTGTGGTACTTGGTCATCTCCTCAGCATTAGCTTTGTGAGGATGATAGATATCCACTAGTAATCTTTTAGGGATCCTGAGAAATTATAGTTAAATCTTGGCTGTAGTCTGTGAGGATGGATTGTCTCCGTCTATTACTTTGAAACTGATTTTGGATGTTGGATCACCTGGGCCATGGTGTCATCAGAGACCTTTCAGGGGGTCTTGGCTGATCAAATCACAGGTTTGATTTGGCTGAACAATCCACAGGTTCTCATCTTCTGTGGAAACAAAAGCAGAACCCCTTTTTCAAAGCAATGTATCCTTAAGACACAAATTTTGAAGTCAAGATACCTTTAAAATATACACATTGGTTTAACTTAGTAGCCTTTACAATCAAATGTCTCTCTAGTTAAAAATCCCAAAGACAATATAATTCAGACTCTGTGTATGATTTCCATCTTCATGTGGCTTATTTCTTACATTACTTTTATTGTCTCTTTAAAGACTTTTTTAAACTATTTCTTTATATAACTGTATATATTCCTTTTTCTCTCTCTTCCAGGCCTACATACATTTTTACACACACTGTAAACTGTTTAGAGTATTATTCCATCTGAATCTGTCTTATTGTGAATCTATAATCTATCTCTGACCCGATTTTAAACTGTTAAATAGCATGGCTGAGACAAAAATTGGAAGCCTTGCCTGCTGACCTCACCCACTTCAGCTTCCCAACATGATGGAGTGTAGAATGAATCTTAAAAGTTCTTATTAATAAAATCAAACCCGAGGCGAGTTATTGGGATCCATGCTGGTAGATCAGAGAGACAGAACAAGCCACAGCTATCTCACCTCACCAGATCCTCAGCTGGTCTTGTCTCCTCAGACTGGAGGCCTCTGAGTCCTCATCCGGAATGGGTCTCAGGTGAATTACTGCTCAAAAGCCTGAATGCTTAACCAGCCAAATGCTTAACCAGCCAAAAGCTTCTAGTTTCTGGTCCTCACGCCTTATATATTTTTCTGCTTTCTACCACCACTCCCTGGGATTAAAGGCTGGCTTTCTGGGATTAAAGGCGTGTGTCACCATGCTTGGCATTTCCAATGTGGCCTTGAACTCACAGAGATCCAGAGGGATTTCTATCTCTGGAATGCTAGGATTAAAGGTGTGAGTGCCACCATTTTCTAGCCTTTGTATCTAGTGGCTGTCTGTTCTCTGACCCCAGATAAATTTATTATAGTACACAATATTTTGGGGAACACAATACCACCACAATGGAGATATCCAGGAGAGTCACACTTGCCCTGCTAAGTCTGGGGTCCATGCTATCACCAAGTAGAGTACAGCTGGCCCATAAACTTTTTTTTCTGTATGAGTAAAGACTAAATCCACCACACAGTGTGCTGTACAGCTTGGAGGGAATCTGTGTACCTTGGTGGGAATCCACCATGCTGTAGCTCAAGCCCACACACAGTGAACCCACCATGGCCAGAGGACATGTCACTGTACCTCGGCCTGCCATGAGCAACATGAAATATGAAGTTCACTTAGCTACATTTATAATATCTTCTTAAGTACTATCAGGTTTTATATGGAAACTCTAGCCACCAAGTCTAGGAACCATTGTAGTCAGGTTTCTCTTGTCCTGCCTGGCCCAACAGTTGGGACAAATCTCTCGCATCTGCATCCTGCAGTTACTTGGCCCCAAGTAAAAACATAGAGGCTTATATTATTTACAAACTATACTGTCTATGATTAGACAGAAAAGGGGAGGTTTTGTGAGATGTCTCTCTGTATGTTGTGAATATGCATTGCTCTGATTGGTTGATAAATAAAGCTGCATTGGCCTATGGTAAGAAAGCTTACAAGTAGGCGGAAAATCTAAGCAGATAGGCAAGAAGGAAGAAAGAGAGGCAGAAGAGATGCCAGCCGTCTCCTAAGGAATAGCACGATGTCAACAGACCAGTAATGCCACAGCCAGGTGTCAACTTATAAATTATTAGAAATGGGATAAGTTATAAGAGCTAGCTAGCGAGAAACCTGCCATAGGCCACACAATTGGTAATTAATATAAGCCTCTGAATGATTACTTTATAAGCAGCCATGGGACTATGGAGCCTGGCAGGACTGGAGAAAACTCACATCTACTATGTTGCCTTGTTTTGGAAAAATTCAGTGGTCTTCCTATGGATCCTGCATGTCCAGTTTATACAACATATTGTCAAGCACTTCAGGCAAGGACAGTTTCTTGCCCAAATGGCTAGCCTTTTTCCACATTGTAAGCAAACTCCATAATGAGTTTCTTAAATGTCCATCATCTTCTTTGAAGTAATTGGTGCTGCCAGGAACAGACATGTCTCACTGTCCAGAAAAGTCTAAGTTCTTAAAACAGTTTAAGTGCTGTATTCTGTAGATCTTTGAAGTGTTTAAAGATTACCTAACTGAAATATATTTCTACGTATCTAAAAAACCCAACTAATATGACTATAAGTTTGACTATTTTAGGTGATTATTATTTTGTGTTTTTTATTATACACTACATTTTTCATTGAGCTGCATAAACACAATACCTTAAACAAAAGTAGAAACATACACACAGTATAACAAAATTGACCTTAAATTTGTATTAGTAAACCAAAATCCATTCCAATGTAAAGTATTTTGAGATTAACAGTTGTTTTTTGGATTAAATTCGATTGAATAATCTACCTCTTTTTCATCATCTCTATATTATATGCCCCTTTTCTCTTTTAGAAAGAAATTGACTATGAACAATAACAATTTGTAACCAACCTTTTAATGTAAAACAAACATTTATAAACAATATTTTGGGAATTTGGGTGTAGTTTTCTATACTACTCCATGCTGATTGGGGGTACTGGTTATCTTATGGGGATCCTGAGAAAATGTAGAATTATGGTTAAATATTGGCTGTAGTAGTCTGTGAGGCTGCATCATCTTAGTTAGTTGCCTTCAATCTGTTTTGGATATTAGACCATTTGGGCCACAGATGTCATTGGAGACCTTTCAGGGGGTCTTGGTTGATCAACCCATATTAGCCTGAAGGCAATCCAAAGTTTATCTTCTGTGGAAACAATAGCAGAACCTCTTTTCCAAAGCAACATATCTTTAAACCCACATTTTAAAGTCAAGCTACCTTTAAAATATATATGTTTGTTTAACTTAGCAGCCCCTACAATCAGATGTCTCTATGAAGTTGAAAAAAATTCTCAAAGACAATACAATGATATACAATATCCAGGTCTCTGTGTATTTTCCATCTTTATGTGGCTTTTTTTTTTTTTTTGCTCTTTAAGGACTTCATTTTTTTTTTCTTTCCCAAGACTACATGTATTTCTAAATACATTGTAACCCATTTAGAGTGTTTTTTTTTTCCTCATCTGAATCTGTCTTTATCATGTATCTGTAATCCTTTTCTGACCAGGAGAGTTTGTTAATCTGTGCGCCTAGGACAAAAGCACGGCTTTGGTTACTGGCTCCTCCCCACTCAGGCTTTCCAACATGGCACAAGTACCAACAAGTCATGCTTACCTCCCTGATTCTGGAAAGCAGTATTAAGTAGCATGGAGCTGTGTTTTTAAGCCTGTGGCTGTGATCTCAAGCCTGCAGGCAGCAACTGGGAGAATGCTCTCTGTACTGTATTCTATGAGAGAGACTTCAGGAGCTTGCTGCTTAGCTCATGACAGCTGGCAGCCAGCTCCATCTCATAGGCAGCTGTCAGGACACCCGTCTCTGTGACACTGATGGCATGAGACTGTGAAACTAGGAAACTCGGTGTGGTTTCCTTTCTGTGCATTTGAAATCTTCTATGCTTTTAAATTTGTGTGTGTGTGTGTGTGTGTGTGTGTGTGTGTGTGTGTGTGTGTGTAGCAGGTTTTTATTTTATTTCATATTTCTAGAATTTTTTAGGGTTTTATTTTTTTTAGTTAAGAAAAATTTTTCATTCATTTTACACACCAATCAAAGATGCCCCTCTTCCCTCCTTCTGCCCCCACAGCCTCCCCCCAACCCACCCCACACTCCCCCCCACAAGAAGGCAAGGCTTTCCATGGGGAGACATATCCAGTAGAGGCAAGTCCAAGCCTGTGGTTGATACATTATGCACCCCAATAAACTTTACTGGAGGTCAGAGAACAGAACAGCCACTATATTAAACATAGAGGATAGGCAGTGGTAGCATATGCCTTTAATCCTAGGATTCCAGAGGCAGAGATCCATTCAGATCTCTGTGAGTTCAAGGCCACACTGGAAATAGCCAGGGATGGTGACATACACCTTTAATCCTAGCACTTGAGATCTCATGTCTTGTTTGGAAAAGACACATGCCTTTAATCCCAGGAAGTGACAGCAGGAAGCAGAAAGGTATATAAGGTGTGAGGACCAGGAACTAGAGGCTTTGTTAAGCTTTTAGACTTTTAGCAGCAGTTGAGCTGCTGGGCACTTTTCTCTGTCAGCCCCAGTCCCATAGTCTTGAAGTCACTTTTAAAATAGTCATTCAGGGGCTTAATATTAATTACAAACTGTGTGGTCTATGGCTCAGGCTTATAGCTAACTAACGCTTACATCTTAAATTAACCCATTTCTATTCATCCATATTTTGCCATATGGGCATGGTGTTGTTACTGGACTGTTAGCTTTGGGAGGCTGGATGGTCTCTACCCTGACTCCACTCTTCTTCTCCCTGTCTCTCTGTGTAGATTTCCTGCCTGGCTCTTATCCTGCCTAACCATAGGTCAAAGCAGCTTCATTTATTAACCAATGAGAGCAACATATATTGACAGCATACAGAAAAACTTCCCCACAGCACAACAGAGCAGAGGCATTACAGCAGAAACATCAGGATTAGAGTTCACAACTCAAGCAAGCAAGAGGCAGAAAGAAGAGGCAGCACTAGGAAAGGCTTGAGTCTTTTGAAACATCAAAGCTGACCCGAGTGACACACCTCCTCCAACACAGGTATATCTCATAATCCTTCCCAAACTGTTCTACTAACTGAGGGCCTATGTGGGGCATTATGAGAACCAGCATATTTGCTGTTTCACTTTGCTTTGTTTTCTTGCATGGGGTTTGAACTTAGACTAGAGCCTAATGAAAGCAAGCTCTCTACCATCAAGTTATATCCCTAGTTCATTTTTCTTTTTTTAAAGCTGTTTCATCTTATTTTTATGAGACAGGATGAAATTGAACTTCATCAGTTCCCAGAATCAACATGGTGGGTCACAAATGTCTTTATATCCAGTTTCAGTAGGTCTGATGATCTATTCTGATCTCTGAGGGTACCAGGCACCCACATAGTATACACACATACAGGCAAAACACTTATACCAATAAATATAAATAAAAATAAATAACTCAAAAAGCATATATGATTCTCCTGAATCAGTCTCCTGAGTAGTTGAGATTATAGGCCTGAACCCACAGCTATATCTGGAATTTAAAAAATAAGTTATATTTCCTTGCTTAAATAAGATAAAGATTTATTTTGATGATCAGTCTCTTCAGAAAAGTTGTCCATATTTTCTAAAGAAGAAGGAGACATGGTCAATTATGATATTATACCTGCATTTTTCTATGGCATTAATGATTTATGTCTATATATTTCTCAGTTGTTTTTTGTTGACTTTTTACTGTTTGATCCTTGAAAATAAAGGTCATGTCTTTCAGATTTGCCTCATAAAGTTCCTTCCATATAGAAGAAAGAGGCAATTCTAGAGATGTTTATGACAGTAACTGGAAAAACAAAGTATGTGAACTTGGTTCATTTATCAGTAGAATTTGCTAAAAAGTAAGATGATTTGCTATTTTATTGAAGGAAAGAAACTGCTTTATATTATCATTTCAGACTTTCTATTAAGTTCGGTACCTGGATGTCTGACTTCTGTGGATGCTAGGATAAAGCAAGGTAGACAAAATATATGTTCACATATGTATAGCATTTCTATTTCTCATGTCACAATCTTTTGTAGTTAAAAAGAAAACATGAGTAAAGAGTGCTTAAATCAGATGTATTCAAACTTCTTAAAGAATTTAGAAAAATCAGTATAGAAGAGAACATCTGAGCCTATCCTCTAAAGGCATGGACACAGCATCTTGACATCCTGAGAACTGATGTTTCACTCACAAGCAAGATAGTAAATGATCTCTGAATAACCCATGGATCGTAAAATAACCCCTCAGGGAATCTTGATGACTTATCTCAGTACTCTTCTTGAAGACAGTTGATCTGTTCTGTGGATCTTACTAATTGGTTAGTTATTTAAAGAAACTAATCCAGAACCTTGTAGTTGCTCAATTTTCCTTAAGCAGCTCTATCTAACTGGTGAATCCCTGAATAAATATCCAGGTTTGAACAACTTTACCAAGCATACTTTTACATTTCAGATTACACCATTTAACTTTTTCTCTGTGTTTTATGAACACAAGGAAAAATATTCAGATATTACCTCAAATACAAAAGGTCACAGCTTTATAAAAAATG